GTGGAGTGTCCTGGATCATCACCTCTGTCCTGAGATCCTTCTGTGTTGAAAGAAAAAACTCTAAAAACCAGTGGGAGAAAATGAAAAACCTTGAGGAGGCCCAGACTGAGAGAGGGATCTGCTCCCACAGACGGACTCAGGCCTAGTGCAGCTGAAGGCCCACATTATTGTTGACTGTAGATCTACATGATGCACATACATAACTTTTTCTTGGAGTAAAACCTAAAGAAGAAATAAAAAATATCAGTTTTGCAGGGTTTTTGTTAATGAAAAAACATGTATATTTTTATTTTCACTTCCCATTTGTTCATTCATTTTTTCTACCCCTTTATTAGTCCATTTCTGGGTCGGAGGGGAAGCAATCAGAGCTAGACCCAATACTCATAGGACCAGTCCCTCTGATCCTCCTGCAGGTGGTGGGTCTACAGCGGTGACCTAGGTCTTTCAGCGGGGGCTTCAGGCAACGTAGGGTTAACCGTCTTGCCCAGGGACACAACGACAGCAGACATCAGTGGGAGCAGTTGGAGTAGGTCTCGTAGGGGGATCGAACTCACGACCTTCAGACCCAAAGGCCAATGCTCTACCAACTGAGCCACTGTCGCCCCACTTCCCATTTGTCTTTCACCCAAAAAAATAATACAATAAAAAAAAAAAAATTGGAGTCAAAACGTGGGGTTAATGGGTTATTAGTTTTCAATTGAATGTATTCAAATAGATAAACTCCACTGCTGATTGAGCAATGACCAGTGTGAGGTGGGTGGCAGTGGTAAGGGTGGTGGTGGTCATGGTAATGGTGCTGGTGGACCTTGCTGGTATCTGTCCATTCAGACCAGTTCAGACACACATGGTGCTGGTGGACCTTGGTGGTGTCTGTCCATTCAGACCAGTTCAGACCAGTTCAGACACACATGGTGCTGGTGGACCTTGGTGGTGTCTGTCCATTCAGACCAGTTCAGACCAGTTCAGACACACATGGTGCTGGTGGACCTTGGTGGTGTCTGTCCATTCAGACCAGTTCAGACCAGTTCAGACCAGTTCAGACACACATGGTAACGCTCTGGTAAACCCGTTGCGAACACCATAACCACAGAACCAGTTCACCACACCTTTACCATGATGTGTGAGTGAACGTTTAGAGAGGATTAGAAAACATGCCTCTGGATTAAAGTTGGAAGAAACATACTGTACGTCTTTGTCAGTACATTTGGACATCATGACTTTTGATCGGAGCTGTTGGAGATGGACCAATATCCACTGGACCTGTTTGATCCAAAACCAGTAAATGCGATGGTAACGTTCTAAAAATAACCCACAACAAGCAAATTCTGTTAAGTACCGGCTGTATGTTTTAAGGCTGTAAAACCTTTCATAAGACCAGAGGGAGACCAGAGAGAGAGACCGGAGAGAGACTAGAGAGAGACCAGAGAGAGGATAGAGAGAGACCAGAGAGAAACTAGAGAGAGACTAGAGAGAGACCAGAGAAAAACTAGAGAGAGACTAGAGAGAGACCAGAGAGAGACTAGAGAGAGACCAGAGAGAAACTAGAGAGAGGCCAAAAAGACACCAGGGAAAGACCGGAGAGAGACCATTGGTAGACCAGAGAGAGAGCGAGACCAGAGAAAGACTAGAGAGAGAGCCCAGAGAGACACTTGAGAGAGACCAGAGAGAAACTAGAGAGAGGCCAGAGAGAGACTGGAGAGAGACCATCGAGAGAGTGGAGAGGGACTGGAGAGAGACCAGAAAGTGCTGAATATGAGACTCATCCTGGTCATTGATAAATATCCAAATATTTACCCCTCCTCTTCCCATATACTGTAATCTCTCTGGTCTCTAATACTTTCTAACAAAATCGAATGCATTTTATCTCCTCCAAATGTGACGTTATCAACAGTATTCCCATTCTCCTAAGTGCACATAACAACTTTACGTCTTGTCTCTAAATCAATATTCATAAGGAAACACATTCTAAGCTCAGAGAGAAGTGTAAAAGTCTGCCACACAAAAGCAAGGGGCGGGATGTGAGAGTCGTCTGCCCAGCTCTGCCCTTTTCCTGCTCCACCATCACTCTCTCTTTCCCCTGTTCCCACAAACACACCCCACCCTCTGCATGAGAACACACTGTGGCAGATACGACCCCCACGCACACGCACACACACACACACACACACACACACACACATGCCCCCAGCCTTGACGTCCGCACCCATCTCTCTCGGTCTCCTCCTCATCCTCCACTCCCTTTAAGCACAGTTGCCATAATGTAATGTTTTTCTTTAGCTTCTCCTACTCACTTTTCACACACTTTTTTTTCTCTGCCTCATACTCGCACACACACACACACACACACACGAATACACACACACACACACGCAGCAGCATCCCACACTCGCGGGGCCCAGATGACCCACCAAAGAGGGGGTGGGACACATTTGGGTGGGCACGGGAAAAGATGTCATCACTGAGAGACAAGCACAGACTAATGTGGTGTTTTTGCAGAGGTAGAAATAAAACTGTATTTACTGATTTGTTTGACATAATAACTAAAGCAAAGAGTTTTTCTTGAATGAGGCCTATTCTTGAGTTTTGGCCCTGGTCTTGTGCTGATGTGTTGTAAAAGCAGCTTTGGTTTTTGTGATAATTTTTAAATGTGTTATTTAAGATGAAGTGTTGAATCGTAAGTTACAGAACAGCAAAGAAGCACGTCTACAATCTCTAGTTTTAGAATAATGTGAAAAATAAGACCAAAGAGAGAGAGGCCATAGAGAGGCCAGAGAGAAACCACAGAGAGAGAGCAGAGAGAGACCAGAGAGAAACCAGAGAGACCAGAGAGAGATCAGAGAGAGAGCAGAGAGAGAGGCCAGAGAGAGACCAGAGAGAGACCAGAAAGAGAAAACAGAAAGAGGGACAAGAGAGAGAGACCAGAGTGAGAGACCAGAGAGAGACCAGAAAGAGAGGCCAGAGGGACAGACCAGCGGGAGAGCAGAGAGACAACAGAGAGACCAGAGAGAGAGACCAGAGAGAGACCAGAGAGAGAGGCCAGAGAGAGACCAGAGAGAGACCAGAGAGAGACCAGAGAGAGACCAGAGAGAGAGGCCAGATAGAGACCAGAGAGACCAGAGCGAGAGACCAGAGAGAGACCAGAGAGAGACCAGAGAGAGAGACCAGAGAGAGACCAGAGAGAGAGGCCAGATAGAGACCAGAGAGATAAATTACAACTGAGGCTTTACTGAGGGTCCAAAAGAACGCAATACAAAACCGATTGATCCCTCTCTCTTTGGGTTGCCCTGATATTTCTCACTTTTTTACAAATGTTTTCTGTTGTTGAGTTGTTTTTCTGGGTCAATCTCTCTGGTCTCTCTCTGGTCTCTCTCTGGTCTCTCTCTGGTCTCTCTCTGGTCTCTCTCTGGTCTCTTTCTGGCCACTCTCTGGTCTCTCCCTGGTCTCTCTCTCTCTGGTCTCTTTCTGGTCTCTCTCTGGTCTCTCTCTGATCTCTCTCTGGTCTCTCCCTGGTCTCTCCCTGGTCTCTCTCTGGTCTCTCTCTGGTCTCTCTCTGGTCTCTCTCTGGTCTCTCTCTGGTCTCTCTCTGGCCACTCTCTGGTGTCTCTTTGCTCTCTCTCTGGTGTCTCTCTCTCTTACATTATTTACACCATTACTAATTTCTTGCTTTGCCTCTGACACACGGTACTGTAAGTGCACTCAGGAAAAGGGAATTCATGAAATCCAGTGAAATAATGAAGATTAACGGAGCCCAAAAGTGAAGCAGTAAAATCAGCCTGGGTCGTGTTGGCTGCCTGCTGCGCTGCCGTGTGCAGGGACAGGATACGGCGGAGGACTGAGTTTTAAAGGTTAGCTCCTCTGTTATCAGTGTGTGAAACCTGTGATTGTCTGGTCTGGGGTCCACAGGATTCACAGAGACTCCAAGAGAAAAAGATGAATGATTTTTTTCTTTTCTGGTCTCTCTCTCTCTGGCCTCTCTCTGGTCGCTCTGCATGGTCTCTCTTTGGTCCCTCTTAGATATCTCTTTGGCCTCTCTCTCTGGTCTCTGTCTCTTTCTAATCTCTCTGCTCTCTCTCTCTTTCGCTCTCTCTCTCTCTCTCTCTCTAATCTTTCTGTGGTCTCTCTCTGGCCCTTCTCTAGTCTCTCTCTGGTCTCTCTCTGGCCCCTCTCTAGTCTCTCTCTGGTCTCTCTCTGGCCCCTCTCTAGTCTCTCTCTGGTCTCTCTGGTCTCTCTCTCTGGTCTCTCTTTCTGGTTTATCTCCCTGCTCTCTCTCTTGTCTCTATCTGCTCTCTCTCTGGCCCCTCTCTAGTCTCTCTCTGGTCTCTCTCTCTGGTCTCTCTTTCTGGTTTATCTTCCTGCTCTCTCTCTTGTCTCTCTCTGGTCTCTCTCTCTCTTGTCTGTGAGCCTTAAAACAAACAGCTGCAGATTCACAGATTTCATTTATCGAGGATTATTTTTAGAGCGTAACCATGGCGATAAACAAGGGACCCCACTGTACATTAGTTTCATTCTCTCTCGTCCCCGACTCCAGCCTCCGTTCGGAAACCCTCACAACACATTATTTGAGTCTATTCTATAAACACTGCTCTCATGAAGACGAGGAGGAAGACGAGGAGTAAGACGAGGAGGAAGAGCAGGTCACGGAGTCAAGTGATGGATTTATTCACAACATTCGCCGCTGGTCACAAACACATAATGAACCATTGCATTTATTTAATCTGGTCAAGTCTGTACCTGTTATAAAACAAACTGCAGAGGTGGAGAGGAACTACATACTGTCTGAGTAAGTACTGAGTAGTATAGGAAGTACTGAAGTATTTTAAAATAATTTTAATTATTTTTCTCTCTACTTTACGTCTAACTTTTCGTCCTTACTTTAAACTCACATACTTTTACTTGCCTTACATGTTGGAAATCGATATTTACCTTTAAACCACAAAGCTGCAGAACTTAAAGAGTTTGAGTAATGTTGGTGCAGGTGAAACATGAACCTAAATGCTCTGTCAAAGCCGTGCAAGAACACGCTGCTCTGTAGCTGCTCTGTGGTTGCTCTGTAGCTGCTCTGTGGCTGCTCTGTGGTTGCTCTGTAGCTGCTCTGTGGCTGCTCTGTGGCTGCTCTGTAGTTTCTCTGTAGTTGTTCTGTAGTTTCTCTGTAGTCGCTCTGTAGTCGCTCTGTAGCCGCTCTGTGGCTGCTCTGTAGTTGTTTTGTAGTTTCTCTGTAGTCGTTCTGTGGCTGCTCTGTAGTCGCTCTGTAGTCGCTCTGTAGTCGCTCTGTAGTCGCTCTGTGGCTGCTCTGTAGTCGCTCTGTAGTTGTTCTGTAGTCGCTCTGTAGTCGTTCTGTGGCTGCTCTGTAGTCGCTCTGTAGTCGCTCTGTAGTCGCTCTGTAGTCGCTCTGTGGCTGCTCTGTAGTCGCTCTGTAGTTGCTCTGTAGTCGCTCTGTAGTCGCTCTGTAGTCGCTCTGTGGCTGCTCTGTAGTCGCTCTGTAGTTGCTCTGTAGTCGCTCTGTAGTCGCTCTGTAGTCGCTCTGTAGTCGCTCTGTAGTCGCTCTGTGGCTGCTCTGTAGTTGTTCTGTAGTTTCTCTGTAGTTGTCCTGTAGTTTCTCTGTAGTCGCTCTCTAGCCGCTCTGTGGCTGCTCTGTAGTTGTTCTGTAGTTTCTCTGTAGTTGCTCTGTAGTCGCTCTGTGGCTGCTCTGTAGTCGCTCTGTAGTCGCTCTGTGGCTGCTCTGTAGTCGCTCTGTAGTCGCTCTGTGGCTGCTCTGTAGTCGCTCTGTAGCTGCTCTGTAGTCGCTCTGTGGCTGCTCTGTAGTCGCTCTGTAGTCGCTCTGTGGCTGCTCTGTAGTCGCTCTGTAGTCGCTCTGTGGCTGCTCTGTAGTCGCTCTGTAGTCGCTCTGTAGTCGCTCTGTGGCTGCTCTGTAGTCGCTCTGTAGTCGCTCTGTAGTCGCTCTGTAGTCGCTCTGTAGTCGCTCTGTAGCTGCTCTGTAGTCGCTCTGTAGTCGCTCTGTAGCTGCTCTGTAGTCGCTCTGTGGCTGCTCTGTAGTCGCTCTGTAGTCGCTCTGTAGTCGCTCTGTGGCTGCTCTGTAGTCGCTCTGTAGTCGCTCTGTAGTCGCTTTGTGGCTGCTCTGTAGTCGCTCTGTAGTCGCTCTGTAGTTGCTCTGTAGTCGCTCTGTGGCTGCTCTGTAGTCGCTCTGTAGTCGCTCTGTAGTCGCTCTGTAGCTGCTCTGTAGTCGCTCTGTAGTCGCTCTGTGGCTGCTCTGTAGTCGCTCTGTAGTCGCTCTGTAGTCGCTCTGTAGTTGCTCTGTAGTCGCTCTGTAGTCGCTCTGTAGTCGCTCTGTAGTCGCTCTGTAGTCGCTCTGTGGCTTCTCTGTAGTCGCTCTGTAGTCGCTCTGTAGTCGCTCTGTAGTCGCTCTGTGGCTTCTCTGTAGTCGCTCTGTGGCTGCTCTGTAGTCGCTCTGTAGTCGCTCTGTAGTTGCTCTGTAGTCGCTCTGTAGTCGCTCTGTAGTCGCTCTGTAGTCGCTCTGTGGCTTCTCTGTAGTCGCTCTGTGGCTGCTCTGTAGTCGCTCTGTGGCTGCTCAAAATTAAATCAAGAATTGAAACCAATGAAGTTCATGACGTTCCTGAACAGATGAACAGGTGTGAGTGTGTTTATGGATTTACAACGTCAGAGAAACTTCACTTAAACAAGACTCTTTTCCTTTGAGGACTGGTGTCTGGTTCTTCATAGTTTAGTTGAAAGAAAATGACCGTACCTGCAGCTGTGGCTACAGTCGTAGCTTATCCCCACTGTGTGTGGATAATAAAGAATACAAACATTAAGTCAACAGTTTGATCAATAGTTTCTGAGCTCTACACCAACACATCAGTCCTTTATCGGTGGAGCTGACAGTGACACTGAGGTGTTTATGATCTCAGTGGCTTCTTTGTGTTAGCAAAAGGCCACACAAAATGCCTCAGAGGCCTGAGTTTGGCCCGCGGGCCTTGGTTAGGACATGTCAGGGTTATTCGTTTACACATGTTACTTTTATTCTGCAGTAATAGCTCAGTTTGAGCTGAAAAACATGTTGTTTAAATGTTGTTTAAAACATTCACTATTTAAATAGTGGTTGTTTTACATTTCCACCAAACCATACTTTACACATTCATGTCATTCTGTTTTTACTTTTATAACTTGTTTGCACTGTAAGCCAAGGCTATTTCCAAGTCTGTGACTTCCTGTTACTCACAAAGGTAACACAAATACTTCTGTTTCAGATACTGGTTCTCCATCCATCCATTTACTTCCCCTTAGTCCATTTCTGGGTCGGCGGTGGCAGTCAGAGCTGCACCCACTTCACTCCAGCACCAGCCTCTGATTCTGACTCAGACGAAGAGAGAAGAAGTTAGAAGTTGCAGCCAGTCCATAAAAAGTGACAGATGAAGTATTTATTCCTTTGTCTCAGTTTTAGTTGAATAATAATGACCTGAGCATGTGGTGCGTGCGGCCGCAGTGAGGAGGGGGCTGGTCAGTGGAGGATTGTGGGTTTTGTTGGTCAGAGCAGCTAAAATAACCGCGCGCCGGGCGGGGCCTGTGACTACAGTGGCTCTGGCAGAGGGACGGAACCACACGCTGACACAAATGAGGGGCCTCGGAGTCTTTCATCTGCACAAGGAACCGAGAAAAACCGAGGGCCGCTGTCGGAGCTGATGGGCCGCATGAGGGGCCCATGAGAACGAGTCAAGCTCTAACAAGAGGTGCATGATATTAGTACAATAATGCTAATTTAACAGTGACAATAACAGAGAGACCCGGGGAACAGAAGAGAGTCCTGGACCAGAGGCAGCCAAAGTTACACACAGTGACTTCCAATTACTGCTTATAAAAACAGGTACATGTCGTGGAGGACGTCTCAAGGGCTCTCAATCTGGACTCAAAAACATTCAATGAAATAAAACAGTTCTAGTTAGAGTCGGAGAATAGAGTTTGAGTTCAACCTCTGAGGACCAAAGTTTCAAACACTCTTCTCTTAAGACTCAAGAGAAAAATTGCATTTTAACTCAATTCAATTCATTTGTGTATCTTTGAGGACTTTTTAAAACCGTGGATTTTCCAACACACATCAGAGAATCAAACATTAAACACACAGAGACCAATGTCCATAAATGTCGATCCTATAATTAAACACATGCATTACTTAAAAAAAAAAAAACAATTCACAAAAAACTAATAATTACTGTAAATACAATTGAATTCTTGAATCTTTAACTTGTTTTAACAGAGAAAGTCTGTCACAAAACCCTTTTCTTTGGGTTTTCATAATAACTTCCACAATTCAGACTGTTAGCATCAGGGAGCTCTCAAAATCATTCCCCGAGAGATGACCTCTAACCTGGGCATCTGCGCTGCTCAACCCCTGCTGTTAGCTCAAAGCCTCGGAGCCTTGGAGGTTCACGCTGGAGCAAAAGTCCAGAAGATGTCTATTTTATCATCAAACAGACCCCAGACCTCGCTTCATCCAATCCCTTTTTGAATCAGTCATTTGTCTGATATTTTGATATATGTAAAAATATGTACTGTGCAGGTTTGGGGAAAAGAAAAAAAGAATGAAATGAGAACAGAGAAGAGTATTGCCCACCTCAAATGTTATTACAATTAACGTTTATGTCTTAATTAAAGCGTATTTTAAACTTTTTACCTTCATTCATCTCATGCTCTTCTCTCCGCTCCGTGATCCATGTTACTTAGCTACGGCCTTACATCACCAGAATGATTGACAAGGGTTTTTTTTCCGGGTGGATCATCTAGACAGGGCCTCTGTGGCTGCAGGGTTTCTATCAGACTCCACCCATTTCATCAAATCTTCAGGTTAAGACTGTACTCACTTGAGGAAATGGGCGGAGTCTGCGCTGCTCCTGCTGGGTCGGTTTGGACACCTCTGGTCTGGACTATTGCTTCTCCTACCAATAGTCGAGATGATCCACCCGGGAAATAAATCCTCTAGTTCACCTTTAAATAGCCAGACTTGGTTCATTTAAAAACTGCTCACATCATCTTCAAGACATCTGAAAACTCTCCTCTCCCTAATGTCCAAAATGTATTCCATGATCGAGATGCTCCTTATGATCATAGACTTAGAGGAAGCAACAAAGTGCATGTGCTTGAGGACAGAGCACTATCAGAAAACACACTCTCTCTTTCTCTATTTGATGCTTTTTCGCTAATACTGCTGCGAATGAAAGCTCTTTTCAACAGCTGTAGAGTTAATGTTGCCAAGTCAACCTGCCCACTCCACTCTCCACACTGTTGGGTGGATTCAACTGAGCAGAGGAAAAGGTGAGAGCAGAGGTAGAAAAGATAAAAGGAGAGTGGAGAGAGATGACGGCAGCAGTTGACCCTCGGAAAAGAGAGAGGTTCAAAGGCTGAAGAGGAGATAACGTCGACACCAACACTGGAGGGGGCTGTGGGCCGAGCGGTTAGATTTACACTCAGAAAACCTCATGTAACGAGACACGTGTGGTGGGTTGGATTAAAGCACTTACCGACCAATAAAAAGTCAGTATAAATCAGGGGCTTCAAACTCATTTTGATCACAGGCTGAATGTAAAGAAAAAGGATCGGGTCGGTTTCTTTAGACGCTCTAAGAAGCTTCACGTGTTATTTTTCCTTCACTCGATACACGTTGGTGATTGACTACGACTTTAGCCACAGCTGCCCTGGGACACACTGACAGAAGCAAGGCTAACTGTATATACAGCCTCTCCACCGTGGCAACTGGTGTTCCCAGAGGTCTCCCATCACTGCCCTGCTTAGCTACAGAGGTCTCCCATCACTGCCCTGCTTAGCTACAGAGGTCTCCCATCACTGCCTTGATTAGCTACAGAGGTCTCCCATCACTGCCTTGCTTAGCTACAGAGGTCTCCCATCACTGCCTTGCTTAGCTACAGAGGTCTCCCATCACTGCCCTGCTTAGCTCCATAGGTCTCCCATCACTGCCTTGCTTAGCTACAGAGGTCTCCCATCACTGCCTTGCTTAGCTACAGAGGTCTCCCATCAATGCCCTGCTTAGCTCCATAGGTCTCCCATCACTGCCCTGCTTAGCTCCATAGGTCTCCCATCACTGCCCTGCTTAGCTCCATAGGTCTCCCATCACTGCCCTGCTTAGCTCCATAGGTCTCCCATCACTGCCCTGCTTAGCTCCAGCGGTCTCCCATCACTGCCCTGCTTAGCTCCAGCGGTCTCCCATCACTGCCCTGCTTAGCTCCAGCGGTCTCCCATCACTGCCCTGCTTAGCTCCAGAGGTCTCCCAACACTGCCCTGCTTAGCTCCAGAGGTCTCCCAACACTGCCCTGCTTAGCTCCAGAGGTCTCCCAACACTGGCCCTGCTTAGCTCCAGCGGTCTCCCATCACTGGCCCTGCTTAGCTCCAGTGAGTCTGACAGCCCTGGTTTAAATGGTTCAGACATGGGCCACAAACCTTACATTATGAGTTGTATTTAGTGTTTGATGGATTAAAGTCCTCTGCTGCACACTGGGGGGCCTCTCGCACAGCTATTCCAATGTGGTTTTACTGCAAACGGCCAAATAAACTGAATCTTGCCGTCACAAAGAGCCCAGAGCAGTCTCACCTCTCTCTGTCCTGACTTACCCTTTTACAGATAAAACCTTGAAAAACTCTGCTGTGTGGAAGTGTGTGAGCGTCCTGCCGTCGTTGCCAGTGTGTAGCACTCAATCCAGCAAAGGAGCAGCCTAATTACAGGCGCCCGGCTACAGATTTAGCCAGCATGCTAACCATAACGGAGGAAGCAGCAGGGAGGGGATCACTACGACTGGACAGACGCTTCACAAGAGCGGACCACAGGGACAAGGGAGGGGGTACCGGACTATTTCTGGATGTGCACCACTCATTATTTATCATAGAAGTTCTCTGGGCAAGAGGAGCTAACCTACTATTGACTACGAGCATGTGGGTACGAGTGGACATGCAAGGAAAACCCCGGTCCCAAACGCAGCCAGTCATAAAAGTCTAAAAAGTAGACTAAATAATACGCCTCTCCTCCATCCTGCCACAGGGGTCACACTGCATGGGTTCAGACTGGTATGGGGAGGGTGGCAGCGGGAACGAGGAGAAAATATGTGTTTTTAGGTCTTTCATGTTGTTTTGATATTTGAATACGCCCTTTTATCGGACTAGTTGCAAAGGACCAGTGTGACAGATTTCCACTTTATCTTGGGCAACAAAGTGGAGTTAATTTAATTTGATTTATTTGTGTATAGCCCTAAATCACAACAGTATGTCATGGTTTAGATTCATTTCCTGTTTTGTTTTGTAATTTGTGAACCTGTGTGTCTTCTTCAATTGTACTTCCTGTTTCCTGATGTCTTGCCCCGCCCTCATGTGTCTCACCTGTGTCTTGTTAATAATAATTTTAATAATAATGCGACCCCTCCGACCACCACCCATTCACACACACCAGACTCATTCTAGGCAATGGGGGTGAAGTGTCTTGCCTATGGACACAACGGCAGTTTGGCACTTTACAGCCGCAGCCGCCCCACTCAGGTGTTCCCAGAGGTTAAGTGTCTTGCCAAGAGCACACAATGACAGCAGTGGGAGTTGATGGTGAAAGTCTTGAGGTGGGCTCAAACCCACAACCTTCTGGCTCAAAGGCCAATGCTCTACCAACTGAGCCACCTTCGCCCCCACAGTCGACCAGGCTCCTGATGCAGTTCTGTAGTTCTGTAGATACTTATGTAGTTCTAGCGCCCGGCCAGTAGTGGGCAGTGGAACTTTATCGAGCCCCAGCCTCCCCTGCAGTATACTCACTTCTTCAATAACATCCTCCTCAGGCGCCGCAAAGTTGTGAAAGAATGCACCAACATTATTCTTTAACAGCAGCGGCAAAAATGGAAACTGAAACAAGAGCTTTGCGTGGTTTCATTTGGACGAACGAAGGAGTAGAATCCTTCTCCGTGTGGCGCTCCAAGCACACGTAGCTAGTTAGTGTACCCGCTGCCATTGTTGTTTACGTTTGTTCTCAGCTACTGCTCATGTCCAAATGTACGTGCGGGGAGCAGCGGGAGGTGGAGGTCAGAGCAGCAGAGAATTCACAACTTTTCCTTCACGCGGGTGAGAAAGAGCGCCCCCTGCTGACAGCGTATCTGAGCTGTCCCACTCTGAGGCTGGATCTGAAGACACCAACTGTAGCGTTTTACTGCTGCAGTCTCAGGGTAAACTGGGATTAAACCATGTGTTCCTTTCCACGTCTGTTTTATTTCATGTTGTCAGTCTTTGTTTGGTTACCTTTTTATTTTTTTTGTCTTGTGTCTTGTGTCTTTTGTTTTGCTTCTTATTAAGGTGAGTTCTGGAGCCCGGATCACAGACTTTCTGATTGGTGAAACGGTGGAGGGCGGGACATAGAAACAAAAACAATAACAAGATTTAGAGGCTGGAAAAGTAACTTAGAAATCCAAAAATCCAAAGAAGTATTGTAAAAGAGTAGGTTTTATTAATGCCTTTTGACAGATTAGGGCCCTTTAATGATGACAGATTAGGGCCCTTTAATGATGACAGATTAGGGCCCTTTAATGATGACAGATTAGGTCCCTTTAATGATGACAGATTAGATCCCTTTGATGATGACAGATTAGGGCCCTTTAATGATG